AGTCAGGTGCGACCTGGCTCCGGGGCAGTGGGTGAACAGCGCGGGTCCAGCCGCTGAGAGCGGTGAGGGGGCGAGCAGCGCAGCCGGTGGCAGGCGGAAAAGTGATGCCTGCCCCAGGGTGCGACGACCGGGGATCGCCGCGGCGTCCTGCACCCTGGAGTGGACCTTAAACTGACCTGACTGCTCTGTCCTCAGGCTTATGCGCCTCCGCACGTTTCCAAGCCCTGTATGCGGTAGTGCACAGGATTACTGTGAAGTGCCGGGGACATTTGCGGACCCGACGAATTCCATCTTAAATCTAGGCACCCAGATGCTGCAGCTCTTAGAAGACTGGTGAGGGGAGATGGACATGAACCCTCGGGAAGCGCTTGCCAGTGTCCCCGAGACCTGCAGGGTGGCAAATCGTGCAGGCCCTGCTGGCTGGTCTGGCCCCCTTGGGGGAGTACCAACTGTTTAGATGTTCAGGAGGGAAGAAGATAGGAACGTAGCCTTAATAGGGCTTAGTGAGGACACTAGTCATGCTGTGGTCCCCAAGGAGATACCTGGAAACGGGTTTCTGGAGAGTGATCTTCAAGCCCCGAAGCCCGAAAACGATTTTTTTTTTTTTTTTTGGTTTTTTGAGACAGGGTCTCACTATGTAGTTCAGACTGCTCTGGAACTCACTATGTAGCCCAGGCTGGTCTCTAACTCGCAGCGATCTCCTGCCTCAGCCTCTCGAGTGCTGGGATTACAGGCGTGCGCCACCATGCCAGGGCCAAAAATGAATTTTTAAGCAGACTAGATCTTAACATGTAGAGGAAGAGGGCATGACAGTGAGCTGACCAGAGCTCTAGGGTATGAAAATGACCATAATGACCTAAACTGGGGTGTGATCCTTGAAGTACAGGCTCCATTGTTCGCACAGGCATTAGATAAGGCCCTTCACTCTAAACTATGATACCTGAAGTTAAATAGCTGAGAGTATTCCCAGACAGACAGGGAACCTTCAGAACCAGGTGAAAAATAATTTGAACCTTAGATGTTCTATACCTCTTTTTTTTTTTTTGGTTTGGTTTGGTTTGGGGTTTTTTGTTTGTTTGTTTTTTGGTACCAGGGATCAAACTCGCGACCTTAAGCGCCAGGGTGGCAGCACTGAGCTAAATCCCCCGCCCTCAGTACCTCTGATGATGAAGACCTGGAAGGTGCCAGATGCAGAGAAAAGAAAGCTGTTGATAGCTTCAGAGGCCCAGCATTTGATATTATTTGCATTCTCAGAGAGACAATCCTTTCATTACAGCCCTCAATGCCTGCAGGCTCTGGAGACAGTATTTGGGGTTGATAATACTAGAGAGTTACAGGCAAAAAAATATCTATCCTCTTATCAGAAAGATGAGGAAAAGTTGTCTGCTTACATACTAAGTCTGGAGCCTTTATTACATCAACTAGTACAGAGAGAGAGGGAGAGGGAGAGAGGAGCAGTTGAGAACGATGTGAATCAGGCCTGTCTAGACTGAATCATCATTGCTGGGGCTGCCAATGGACCAGTTCTTAGCTTAACCTGCCAGAGGGTGGCCCAGACCCTGGCTGCTTGCAGTTACTGTTACTGATGAAGGATAAGGAGGCAGTGGAGGTGGAGGAGGCCCTTTTCCAGGCAGAAGACTGTTTCACCTGAATCTCAGGAAACCTGCAAGGAACACCTCAATGGGCCAAGCATGAAGGGAAACCAGTGCAATAATGGATGTTAATCAGCCCCTACCTTGTGCTGCCAAAGAACTCTGTGCAGCTTTGTCTGTCATTTCTGAGTATATTGAATGGCTTCCAAATGTGTCACTGACTAGGACAGGTTCTATACTGTTTCACTTCTCCCTAGTGAACTTTTTGTCATACACACATGTACAAAAGGTCTATCACTACATATGTGCAATACCCTGAGAGGACAGGCAAGGCTTAGGCGCAGAAGTGGCCCAAACCTCATGGGAATGTCAGCTTGTTTAGTATCAGATGCCCCTGTCAGTGTCACATGTGATGTGTGTCATCAGTAGTTTTTAACTGTATTGGCTCTTCGTTTCAGATAGAGATCACTTGTTGTAGTTAGAATATTTTTATGTTTCTATGTGGATCAGAATTATTGATTCTGTGCGATTCTGTGCTGGGCCAGAATTCAGTTCTCTTAACTGCAAAGCCTCAGGGAAGCATTCCTCAGAGTACTCAAGGCAGAACTGAATGCTCAAGTTCATAAGTCTGCAGTGGCCATCTTTAGATTTCTAATGTGTGTTACCAAAGCATCTTTTTAATGGTTATATCATTGTCATGGTTATAAAATTATAGATGTAAGGAGCTAGGGATGTGCCATGCCCGCCTGGCAAATTCAATGTCCTGAGTTCGATTCTTGATACTGAAAAAAAAATTATAGGCATGCATATATAAAGTAAAGGAACACTAATAAATGTCTTTTTAAATTTGGATTCCAAAAGACATTTCATTTGAACTAAGTGTTTCTAAAGTGTGAATCTAAAAATCACTGAAGAAGCTGGGTATGGTGGCCCACACCTGTAATCCCAGCAGCACTTGGGAGGCTGAGGCAGGAGGATCGCTGTGAGTTCGAGACCAGCCTGGGCTACATAGTGAGTCCCAGTTCAGTCTCAACTACATAGTGAGACCCTGTCTCAAAAAAAAATCACTCAAGTTAAACAAACTCAGTTCTTTGAACTCTTTCCTCTTGGTGACCAAAAGAAAACAAGTCCTTTTCAAAGTGAGATTGCTTCAGAGAGCTACTGGAGCAATAAAGCAAGACCATACATAAATTAGGACAAAAAAAGTATGTCCAGACACATCGGTGTATTAAATTTGGAAAGATTGGATTAAAAGTTTCACCACACACTATTCTCATTTAGTCCTGAAAATCCTACAGTATAGGAAAGTCAGTAACATATTTGTAAAAATGAACTTTTGCACCTTTTTTTTTTTGGATCAAACTTGGGACCTTGTACTTGCAAGGCAGGCAGTGAAACCACTGAGCTAAATCCCCAAGCCCTCATATTTGCAGAAATGGATACAGAGAGGTTAAGAAAAATTCACCCAAGGTGAGACTACGTAGTAAGTGGCTGGAACAGAATTCAATTGTCTTACTGCAAAGCCTGTTCTACCCAACAGCCCCATAGAGGGAGCAGTGTTTTAGTTACTTTCCTCTTCTTGCTGAGACAAAATATCCACCACCCAAAGTTAAAGGGAGAAAGGTTTATTTAGCTCACGGTTTGTAGAGGTTTCAGTCCGTAATCAGCTGGCTCCACGGCAGAGGGGCATCATGGCAGGCAGAAGACAACAAAGGCAACAAGGGACCTTAACAGCATCTTTCTGCCCCTTTCATCTTATCCAGGCTCCTTAGGGCGGGCAGCGCTCACACCCTTAATCCTAGTACACTGGATCCTTGCATTGCACCAGGAATCGATCCCAGAGTCACTCCAGCTCCAGCCACCTCTGAAAAGGCCCCACCTATGACTGCATGAGGCTTTGGGGGGACATATAGACACAAGCCATGACAAGCAGGCCAGGTGCCAGCCACATTTCACACACATAACATCTTTTATGCATTCCTTGCTCTGAAGCATAGATCCTAAGTTTCTATACATCACCCACTAAAGAACGCTGACAATAAACTCTAAACTAAAAGGTGTGGCTCTTATTTACATCTATGGTGATTTAGATGCATCAGGGGCTGTCACACTGGTCACTTGCTTGCCACCTCAGTCAAGGGAACCTTAGCTGCAGGTTGCTAAGCACTGAGTGTATGTATATACATGGGTATTAATGCTGCCTTATCTGTATCTGAGGCCCTAAGCAGAGGGCTTAAGATGGTAGAATTCAGTTCACAGTATAATCTCAGCCCTGGAGGTTACCTGTGCTCCGAAATAACAGCTGACATTGAACGCGTGCCCTTGGCCAGGCACTGAGCACTTTGGCCCTGCATCCAGCTAAGTCCTGTTTGTCTCCGTTTCACAGATGGGACTGAAGAACTGAGCAGTAACTTGCCCAGGTTTTCAGTAAGTGGCAGGGCCAGGATTTATACTTGGCTATTTCTTAATCAATTCTTGATCTTTATGGTTAAATCCTCACAGAAACCTGTCATGAGACATATCATGCCCCTCATCGTTAGGAATGAGAAGCCTAAGGTTTAGAGAGATTCAATACCAGGGACAAAGGCAGAAAGTCTGATTCCAAAGAGCTTTTGTTGAAGTACTGGCACATGCAGATTTCTGTAAATACTACCGGATTGCAAAAAACAAAGCGGGTGGGCAGTGCTGAGGGTCAAACGCAGGCAGGGCTTTGCACATGCAGAGCAGGTGCTCTACCACTATGCGTTACCTGTTGTCCCTTAAAAATATTTTCCAGATACAGAGGGTTAAACCCAGGGCCTTCATTCTGAACTATATCTCACCCCCTTTTCTAATTTTGAAACAATCTCACTAAGTTGCCAAGGCAGGATTCAAACT